ATACACAATAGAATTTACATACTTCACTACTTCAATTTAAAAAAATAATATAAACATGATATATAAATATGCATATCATATACAACTCTTACATACTTACAATAATTAAAAATGAGTACACTTTTGGTTTGTCTTTAACAAGTTTTTAAGCCTGGAAGTAAACATTTTAAAGTCAGGTACAGTCTTGATGTCAGATGGTAATGAGTTCCAGAGTTTAGAGCTCTTCACAGAGAAGGTCGTCTGTCTGGTTTGGTATGTAGCTTCTGATTAGTTTGAAACAGTTGAGATTACTTTGTATTGTTTTTGAGATTTTCTTTATATGCTTGTCAAATTTAAGTTGAGGATCTAAAACTAATCCTAGACATTTAAATTCTGTAACTGGATGAATTTCTTTATTTTGTAAATTAATATTAAATCTTTCTTTTAAATCAAGTTTTTTAATGGAAAAGCACATGGAGACTGTTTTTGAGAGATTTAGAACTAACTGATTTTGAATGAGCCACTGTTGGATGTCAGACATACTGGTGGACAGTACAGCTGCAGCCTGCTCAGGTGACTTGGCGGGTGCATAAAGAACTGCATCATCCACAACTGGCACCTGAGCAGTGCAGAGGTAAGTCATTTATAAAGAGACTAAACAGCAAAGGGCCAAGTATAGAGCCTTGTGGATTGCCCATTTTTATGTTTGAGAGTGCAGATATGTCTTGATCAACTTTAACACAGTGTACTCTAGACTGGAGATAAGATGTAAACCACAACACTGCCTCATCTGAGAAATTAAAATTTAACATTTTAGATAAAAGCAACTGTGGTTGACCGAATCGAATGCCTTTTTAAGGTCGATAAATACAGCTCCCACCACATTGCCCTTGTCCAGGGACTTTTTTACATTTTCAATTAAACAGCAGTTTGCTATTTCAGTTGAATAACCTGGTCTAAAACCAAACTGCTGTGGATGGAGGAGCTGTCTGGCTTCTAAGTGGTCAATCAGTTGCGCTGCTACAACTTTTTCAATTATTTTAGATAAAACTGGTAAAATCGATATAGGGCGATAGTTGCTCATTGAGTCTTGGCTACCACTTTTGAACACAGGGATGATTATTCCTTTTTTCCATGCACTGGGAAATGTACTGGTTCTTATGGAAAGATTAACAAGATGGGTCAATGGTTTGACAAGAACATCTTTATACTTTTTAAGAAAACAGCTGTTCATCAATTTGAAAAGTTTATTGATTATTTCTGCAACTTTTGTATCCGGCACCTCTTTAATATAAAAGGAATCTGTTGAGGTGACTCTCAATGAATGATTGAGAGAATTGACTGGCTGGAAATCTTTTGATAATTCTTCAACTGATTGTACAAAATATGAATTGAATTCATCAGCCATAGTGGCACTATCGGTTATACTATTGCCATTGATGTTAAGTTCTGTAATCTTTTTGTGTTTATTTGATTTGTTAGATTGTTTAAATGCTTCCAAAGTGAATTATTATTGCCTTTAGCACTGTCAATTAGTTGAGTGTAATATGTGGCTTTTGCTTTCCGCAGCTCAAATACAACTTTATTCCTTAAACTTCTATAAATCAGGAGATCAGTATTAAGTTCAGATCTTAGAGATGTTTTCAAAGCTAAATCTCGCTTTTTCATGAGTTTTCGTATTTCATTATTTATCCAGGGCACCATGGATTCTTTTTGTTTAGGTTTTATTTGCTTTGTAAGTTTTTCTATCAGACTTGTAATAGCTGTGGTCATGGAACTACAACACTCCTCTACATCAGTGTTTCCCAACCTGCTCTACGTCATCTAGTGTCATAATTTGTTCCCAGTTTATGTTTTTAAGTTCTCTTTCAAATTGCACAATTTTACTTTTAGGAATAATGAATTGTGTTTTTTCATGATCAGGTTTACCAAAGTACTGCAGGCGCCTCTTCGTCAGTTTCCTAACAGTCAAAGTCATTTTGTGGTCTGAGAGTTCAGTAATCAAATTGTAAGTCCTTGTTATTCGTTCTGGTCTGTTAGTAAATGCCAAGTCAATGAGAGTCTTCGTCTGCCTTGTTATCCTTGTGGGTCCTTCAATCATTTGTCGATAGTTGAATTTTGTCATAAGTGCTTTGTGCTTTGTTTATGTTTACAGTTTTTGTCAGACCAGCTGATATTGTAGTCTCCATACCATATTGTCTCTCTATAAGAGTCCAGTTATTTAACTATAACATTTAATTCATCATAAAACGTAATATTATGAGAAGGTGGATTATAGGGACAGCCCTAGTGGAAACAGAAGGTTTTCTTCGCTCCGATATTGACAGAGGGACACCCTGAGGTGGTCTGCTATCACTGTGAAGTGAAATGAGTCAGTGGAAACAGGAGGTTTTCTTTTTATATCAGTTTGAATCTTGGCTGAATTTAGTAAACTTTCTGTGAAAATTTAATACTTTCTGTAGATACTTGTGTTGTCTTAAGTATTTATTTATTTATTTATTTATCGTTTCTGCCACACCAATTGCATTATGTTCAGCAGAAGGTCACTTTTATTTTGAAACTTTGATTTGTGCAAAACCATGTATTGCATATATATATATTGCAAACATGTTTGTAATATGGTTAAAACGGTTAGTTTTCTGTCCATGTAGAGTGAACTAGATGTCTGCATGTTGTTCATGTTCTCTGATCTTAATCCAACACATCTTTGCAGTAACGTCCATGTTGATTCCACATTCCGGCTTAAGAGCACATGAACACACACTGAAGTCGGAAGAACGTCTTCACAACTTGGGAAATGGGACCATCCAAGGAGCACATGAATTGATTGGGGGGATCAACCATAGCGATAGCAGCAACTGAGTATGGCAGAACCTGTACTTCATAAGTATGTGTCGACAGTGTTGTGTGTATTACTCTCACTTTCAGAAGGGGGAAACAAAAGTTTCACACTGCTTTAAAAATCAAGAGTTTCTCAGAATCAGCCGACATTAAGATATCAATGGAAAGAAACCCATAGTCAGTGATTTGGGGTGAATGTGCTCTGACAAGGAGATGATCAGTTTGTTCAAATATCCCCACCAGACATGTTTTAAGATATAGAAAAATATATATTTTTTTAAATACATCTTTCCACAAATACCTTACAAAATTAACATGTTGTGCTTCTCCCTCCCTGAAAAACAAAGTACGAATATGTAAATATTGTTCATTTAAAAAGTTTAACTGCTGGATAACAGATGTCTCCTACTTTGCCGTAAAATGTGTGTATGCTGGATGTTTCAAGCTTTCACAGCACAGTAAGCATAGTGGATGATTGGCTTCCAACTGATGTGATGTCACAACTAATTTAAGATGAACACAGATCATCTTTCCTCATTCAGCAGATACAAGATACAACAAAATCTGTACATAAATCATTCTCCACAGTGGGAGGCCAAACATTCCAGTGAAGTAACAATAACCATAATACATTTTTGACTGGAGGGAGGCTTTATCTTTGAAGGGTCCTAAGGGGAAATACAGCTCAGTCAAACTGAGATGCCATGACAGTTGTATAATATCAAATGAGCACAAATCAAAAACCCCAATTCTATTCTAGCTTTACTTTTGCAGATTATCAGACTCTTAATAATGCAACAGAACTGCTTGTTGCACAAGAAACATTTAGTGTCTTGCGAGAGAAAAGTTAATACAGCTTCGTCAAAATTTACTGTCTTTGTCATACAAGACTCTGAGCTGGCATTATTTCTGTTGGACTAGTAAGTAGTATTAGTTGACTTGCTATGTCTGGAGTTGTTGTCACAGCCCTTGCTGTGATTTTGTTTTGTGTTGTCTCTGCCTGTTTGTATGAAGGAGTGGGCGTTTCCCAGGCTAGGAGGTGGTTGGGTGTGTTGGAGGCGGCGCAGCTGTTCCTCATCAGCTCATCCCAAAGGGTTTATGTACTGCCAGCTGACTGTTGCCCGTCGCCAGATTATTCTTCGCCCTTACACGGTGGAAGTCTTCAGGCTATTTCATGTTTCTTGTAGTTCTGTTTGTGATTCTAGTTGAATTGAACATTCTCACTTACCAGTGTTCTCTTGTCTCTTTCCAAGATCTTTTTTCAAGTTCTGACCTCTGGGAGAGGATTCAAATTCAATTCTACTTTATCACACCTATTAAATAACTTTTGAATTCCTATTACTCAACTACATGCCATTATGCAAAAATGTCTACACTAGATGTCTTTCTGAGGAAGTGATTCCATCAGCATTTAATCTAATACCATGTGTCTGCAGGCTCACTGCCAATGATTCCCTTCTTCATCTTAAAAGTCAGGAACCTTAGAAACTATATCAGCTGTAAAACCTGATATATATTTAGATTGCTTTGCTCCCATCAATCTTCACAAACTAACATCAGTGATTTCTTCTCATCAGTCAACCTGTCAATTATCATTATTAGTAATTTATTTTATTACCACTACTATTTCTATTATTTCACATCTTTATATGTGACTTTGTAGTGTTGGGCTACTGTGTGTTCCTCCTGCGCCGCATAAAAAAGTAGCCCAAAATGTCTTTACCAGTGGAAAATGCCATAACATGGGCATCAGTGTACCCTCCATATCACAATACCAGCATTAGATTGATACTGTACAATACATTTTCTTCTATATACACAATATAATGTAAGCCCAGTATTTTATTTGAATTGTATATGAAATTCTGACACAGTTTGTGTCAGAATTTGTATTGAGAAATAATATCCTGATTAAGTCTTGTCCTAACTTGTCACAGCCTGTTATGAATAAAGGACAGCTGAGATTGGTTCCCAGGAAGGAACTGTGCAAAGTCAAATTACATCTACATGTAGTTATAATGAACAAAAGTAAGTTAGTACTTCTGCATGGCATGAGAAACACATAACAGAATTAATCACGTCTCTCTGTCATCTAGAAGTTAAACCACATAAGGCACAAGAAGCACTACGAACTGTTTTCTTTATATTCAGCAGAATGAAAGCAATGTGGGAATGCTTACCTGGAATATAGTGCGTAGGAAATACTTTTTTTTTTTTTTTTTGAAGAATTCAGTCAGAGAGAGACAGGCACACAACCATCTTCCTGCTCCTCTCCCTTCCCCTTCCCACTTGTTTGTCTTGTAGCAGTTCTCTGGGTCTGTAGAACCTCCATCTTCAAAACCTGTTACTACAGTATTCTAAGCCATTTAAGACTTAGCGCCAATCACAGAAAGAGAGAGAGAGAGAGAGAGAGAGAAAGAGAGGGAGAGTGAGAGAGAGGGAGGGAGGGAAGGAGAAAGAAATTCATAGGAGTTACATAACATGCACACAAATACATTTTTGTTTTAACATGTTGTTATTTATTCACCTAGTGTAGACACTACAGCATTTTCGAACCCCTAAAACGGAGACTTTTGAAAATGCTACTGGCCCCAATTTAGTTTAAAAACTGGCAGTGTAATCTGGACGGATGAAGCAGAGACTTTAGAAAATTATGGCACAGACACCCACGTGATTGAGTATCACGGGGAAGAAAACAAACAAAATCAACTTTGACTACCGCGGTTAATTTACCAAGCCAAAACATTATAGCTAAGTCTACATACCTTTTGTGAGTTCATCTTTCTTGTGAGGGTACTCCTTTCACATTGCAATGGGTTCCTCCAGCGATGGATAATGCTCCCTGTACCCACCAAAATCGGTGATGCCCCTCACCAATACAGTCCAACGGCGTCGCCAGGTCATTTTTCCGAGGCTTTAGCCCCGGATGTTTTGACTGTAGCCCCGAATGTAACTCAACAACAGCAACAAAAGAAATTCCATGTTAATATGCAGCGGATAAGAGCTAAGGGAAAGGCGGAGGCTAGTCGCAATAATATTGCTACATTTTGTTTGAAGTTCACGTAACGTGACCCCCCCGCCGTTACTCAGCCTGCCTGCGAGTAAGCACGGGAGGACAGATAGAGCGCGCAATGCTCACAGCTTCAGGGCTTGTCCCCAACTTCTGAATTGTCTCTAGCAAAATTGTAATCAATAGCCTACATTTAAATATAAATGTTGTCGGTCAGCGTCTAGTCAATGTATTAACACATACAGTCGCCGCAAAGTAGTGAGACAATATCATGACACCTGACACTCTGTGTGCTGCTTTCTGTCCCCCTCGCTGTGAGACACTACTGTTTCCCCGTCTTCAGGATGCTTCAGTCCCTCTAAAGCGGCTGTGAGCTGCATTTTAAACAGTGAACATTTGTGTGGAATCGTGGTGATATTTCTGTCTGATCACAAGTGTTTTCAGTTTCGGTTTTCTTTCTCTGGTGAAGAGCAGTACCCTCCTCTCATCGAATGGGCTACAAGTCAAATAATTTATTTATATAAAAAAAATGGGTAACGATCGTCCCATAAAGCATAGGCCAATACTGACATTGGGCTGACCCAATCACATCTCTTACTAGCCCCCACTTCCTCCCCCGCTGCTCGAGCTGTTTCTTGTGTTGTGCTAAAGAACACACAAAAAAAGAAAAGCTACTGATTACCGCATTACATTCTATTATATCTTTATATTCTGAATTATCACCTGCCACCTATTTTTTGTCCTTCCCTTTATAAAACCCAAGACATTTCCACCATAAATTGGTGCAGAAAATGTCTCCAGAATTCAGGAGTTTAGGGGGAGGACCCCCAGACCCCCCAATATTTCATTAATAAATATTTTTTTTACTTAAATCAAATTAATTAAGCTAATTTATCATTGAGGTGAAAAGGTGCCATATGCACATTAAGAAATACTTTAGGCTACTTCAGGCATGCCTGCATGTATGTAATTTTGATGATTATAATTTACAACTAATGAAAACCCCCAAATCAGTATCTCAGAAAATTTGAATATTGTGAAAAGGTTCAATATTGAAGACACCTGGTGCCACACTCTAATCAGCTAATTAACTCAAAACACCTGCAAAGGCCTTTAAATGGTCTCTCAGTCCAGTTCTGTAGGCTACACAATTATGGAGAAGACTGCTGACTTGACAGCTGTCCAAAAGACGACCATTGACACCTTGCACAAGGAGGGCAAGACACAAAAGGTCATTGCTAAAGAGGCTGGCTGTTCACAGAGCTTTGTGTCCAAGCACATTAATAGAGAGGCGAAGGGAAGGAAAAGATGTGGTAGAAAAAAGTGTACAAGCAATAGGGATAACCGCACCCTGGAGAGGATTGTGAAACAAAACCCATTCAAAAATGTGGGGGAGATTCACAAAGAGTGGACTGCAGCTGAAGTCAGTGCTTCAACAACCAACACGCACAGATGTATGCTAGACATGGGTTTCAGCTGTCGCATTCCTTGTGTCAAGCCACTCTTGAACAAGAAACAGCATCAGAAGCGTCTCGCCTGGGCAAAAGACAAAGAGGGCTGGACTGCTGCTGAGTGGTCAAAAGTTTTGTTCTTTGAGGAAAGTAAATTTTGCATTTCCTTTGGAAATCAAGGTCCCAGATGCTGGTGGAAGAGAGGAGAGGCACAGAATCCACATTGCTTGAAGTCCAGTGGGAAGTTTCCACAGTCAGTGATGGTTTGGGGTGCCATGTCATCTGCTGGTGTTGGTCCACTGTGTTTTCTGAGGTCCAAGGTCAACGCAGCCGTCTACCAGGAAGTTTTAGAGCGCTTCATGCTTCCTGCTGCTGACCAACTTTATGGAGATGCAGATTTCATTTTCCAACAGGACTTGGCACCTGCACACAGTGCCAAAGCTACCAGTACCTGGTTTAAGGACCATGGTATCCCTGTTCTTAATTGGCCAGCAAACTCGCCTGACCTTAACCCTATAGGAAATCTATGGGGTATTGTGAAGAGGAAGATGCGATACGCCAGACCCAACAATGCAGAAGAGCTGAAGGCCACTATCAGAGCAACCTGGGGTCTCATAACATCTGAACAGTGCCACAGACTGATCGACTCCATGCCACGCCGCATTGCTGCAGTAATTCAGGCAAAAGGAGCCCCAACTAAGTATTGAGTGCTGTACATGCTCATACTTTTCATGTTCATACTTTTCAGTTGGCCAACATTTCTAAAAATCCTTTTTGTATTGGTTTTAAGTAATATTCTAATTTTCGGCGATACTGAATTTGGGATTTTCATTAGTTGTCAGTTTTAATCATCACAATTAAATGAAATAAACATTTGAAATATATCAGTCTGTGTGTAATGAATGAATATAATATCCAAGTTTCACTTTTTGAATGGAATTACTGAAATAAATCAACTTTTTGATGATATTCTAATTATATGGCCAGCACCTGTATATATCATTTACTGTTGCTTTATACGTACTTTGGGTAGACGGCAATGGGGGTGGGGGGTGAAAACATGAAAGATTTCTGGGCTGGGCTAAGCCCCCAATGTTTCAAGAGCCTGCAAACGCCCCTGCAATACACCATCCTTCCATATAACATGTGTACCTACTGTAATATTCCCCCAAACCAGCTGAGTGGTATGTGCCGTGGATAAGTGTACCAGTGCAAGTGAATCAGTGTACTCATTCGCATTCATTTATTGACTCCATGGTGATGGAGGTGGCCATGGAGTACACAACTCATACTCAAGTAGCCTACAAGTCATTTTCACAGCAGTGTGGGATTGGCCAACGCAATGCTGGCAAAAACCTCACTTCAGCCATTAGGGCAGTTAGCCAAAGTTAAGACTGCATTAGGAAAGTATGCTAGCTACAAAAACAATGTCAAATAGCCAGGGATGTACTGGGACTGAAATTCAGCCATGTGGGGCGTGGAGAAAGACTTTTGCAGTTATTTTAATAAATAGTGTTGTACTTGTATACAGTCAATTTCATTATGATAAGCAGGGTTTCTGCAGGTTTCAACTAGTAAAATTTAAGACTTTTTAAGACCTTTTTAAGACCACTATGAATGAAATTTAGGACCTATATCAAACATCAAAAAAAAACAAACGTACAAAGGAAATGCAGTTACAAAATTACTTGCAGAATAAATAAATGTATTCAAATTAGGGTTGAGTGATTTCTATAAAATTGGCATTGGACGATCAACAATGAAACATCGGGATGGACGATGACATAAGCTACGTAATTAGCAAGCTGGCATGCTGTGCACCTGCTGCCGTGAAAAAGGATCATGGATGCAAATATACAGAAATAAGACCAGTTCTGTGTCTTTTCTGCAACTTTATAAAACATAACCTACTGCTGATGGAGAAACTCAGGGCAGCAGACAGGGAGAGAGAGACAGAGAGAGGCGGGAAAAGCAGGTGTGTTTGCAGTGAGAGGTAAAGGTGTGAGTGTGAATGAGTGTAGGAAGAAGAGAAGTCTAGGCAGTTGCCAAGCAGGTACATTTACAAATAATAATAAAACTAATGTCCGTGGTAAAACATGCTTTTACAGAGCGGTATAAGTAAAATGTAAAAAATTTAGATGGTATTTATGTGTTGGGGGTTTGGTGGTCGTCCCCCAAGAAAATGTTTATGTTTTCCAATAAAGAAATTCCATCCATCCATTCAATTTTGGTCCATTGTTATTACCACATCTGTGAATAATAAGTAGGAAAATCTAGAGCAGATTTTGAATAAACTATACCCCAAAAGCTAAACTTGCTAAAGAAGTCTACTAGGTTTGAATTATAACCATTAGATCTGGAAAAAGTCATGTGGTTAGTTTTGATGCTCTCCACAATAATTTTACATTCATGGCACAGCACCAAGCTGTTTTGAGCCTCACCACCAATATGACCTCAGAAATATTAGGCCTACAGATAGGACTGTTCATGTTTGCCTTTTGTGTCTTAATTTACTGCTTTAAACATTTGTAGAAATTAACATAAATAACAGGCAACGTGAGAACCACCTCCCTTCCATATAATTACAAGCATTTCATTTGTATATTAAAATCCAAAAGAATAATCTCCTCATTAGCTTAAAAGGACTAGTTTGCATCCCTAATTTGCTTTAACGTTACTAACCTCCGCTCTTCCGTGGTGAACACCATTCTTTCTTTTTCATTTAATTTAACTATCAAGATGTACAGTAAAGGACAGAGCTGGAACCTGACAACTTAATGCTGATCTTATCCTCTGCTAACTTTCACTGTCACTTTCTGCTGCTCTCTCTCTCACACATTTGCACGTCCTTTGAAGAATGAGGAGAGGGAAACAGCCATGTTTTGAGTGTTACCGTGCTGAAAATCATCAACCAACATATGAGCAAAGACAGAAGGCTTCAAATGCGTTGCTAGCGACTGGTTTTAACCAAACCCTAAGCTCTGCTTCTTTCAGGGAAGAGTCACTAAGGTTGCACTTTCACACAGCTAAAGAATAAGTTTTAGTTTTATATCTGTGGTACAATCTGAAAGAGACTCGCGGCAGTAACACGACAGCTGCATGTTTGTAGTCGTAACACAACAAATTATATTTGGACTAGCGAAAGAAATAACTACACTAACCACGTGAGGAAAAACCATTCTAACCATGCTTTGGGAGAATTTCAACGAGCATTAGATAGCATTAGGTAGCGTTACATGGACGTTGGAAAATAAAGACCTTTTTAAAATTATTTAAGACCTAGAACACAAACTTTAAATTAAAATTAAATTTTGATTTTGAAATTTAAGACTTTTTAAGACCCTGCGGAAACTCTGTAAAAACCTCTTAAGTTTGTGTAAGCAAGGCACCACTTCACTGAACCAGATAATCAAGGCTGAGTCAGTCAGAATGCTAAAATAGTTAAATATAATCAAAAACAATGCAGTGGCATAAAATAGAGCAGTGTGTATGGGAGTGCATAAAAATCAACTCCCTCAGGTTCAGCTCTGAGTAGCCCCCCCCCTGGCTAAGCTCCGCTGTGCTGGACCCTGACTCTGCTTGTACTGATTGTGTAGATGCATATGCATGAGAAGAACATCAGCAATAAATATAACTAACAATAACACTGTTTCTGGTTCCATTGTCCTTCTCCTCCTCCTTCTGCTTCTCTTCCTCGTCCTTGTCCTACAGCTCCTCCTGTTCTCCTCATCTTCCTTCTTCCTTCAACTGTTGTTTATAATATAGCCTATATGCCTATACATATGCATATATAAATAATGTCAGGTTATAATAAATGTTAACATAATAACATAATGCCTATGTTTGGACTTACACATCACCTTTCCACCAAGAAACAGGTTGGTCCCCCCCTCAAT